GAAATAGGGTGAATACATCTCATTACACTGATTTACTGGTAGTCTCGAAACCCTACTCAAATATGACTAAATGCTCTTAAATTGTCGTTTTTAATTGCAATTCTGAGACCAACTGTAGAACTTGGGCAGAAACTGTGTCCACCATATTTCATTTAAGGAGATAGAGGACTTGTAGTTGAATTTTCCCACAATCATGTGAGTAGGCCTCACTTTTCCCTTGGATTTCACATAGCCTTGCTTCTTAAAAAGTAGTCTCATCCAGGATGAAGTAAACTGCAGTTTGACATCGTACAGGCCTCATCCACACCCCCAGAAGGACTCGAACCCGAGTAGTGTAATGTATAGTCTCGAAACATTAACCACTACTCTGCACTGACACTCATTCCCCTCGATCACATTGGAAAGTTGAGTTCCTAAAAAGTCAAAATTTTTCCCATATCACATTTCTGTGTGGCGTGACGGTTAGCTCGTCAAGACTAAGCACCTCACTACCCGGGTTCGAGTCCCGCTGGGGGTGCTGATGAGTCCAGTTCAGGCGAGGTCAAAACTGCACTTCATTCCAGCCCGGATGAGAATACCTTCGGGAGGCACGGCTATGCGAAATTTAATGGAAACGTAAGTCTCACCATATCGTTGTGGGTAAATTCAACCATAATCTTTCATTAACTTAAGCGAAATAAAGTGAACACCGCTCTTATTCAAAATGCGATTGAAATATGTTTAAGGTTAGGAGCAAATCCTATCAAAAGAATTCATATTTACTCTAGAAACCTCAGGTTTTTAACATAAGGACTTTTGTATTGAGCGACATTATATGAATAACAGTAATCTGAAGAGTCTGCTGATGTGTGATTAATGACCTAATCAGACCAGTACCAACATCGCAAAGTTTAGGTTCAAGCGCATGCAGAAAAATTAAGCTACGTATAAGGGAAAGACTTATGTATTGCATAATTACGATTTCTGTCGCCAAATCAGATGCCTATTTGCATGCCGAAGTAGTAAAATGAAAGAAATTTGCAGACATCAGGCTTAGGCCTGTGGTAACATCTTCTGGCTAGACACCCCCAAGCGACTTGGTTATAGTTCACAGGCAAGGCCCTAATGGGGAGGATTTCGATGGGACTAACTATTTTAATCATTGATCAAAGAATAAAGAGGCACAAAATGCCCTACCTCTTTGTGACTAATTAAATGTCTGTAGAACCGGATCAATACACACCAGTACAGCCTGGGCTCCCAGTTTCTTCATTTTTGGAGAGGAAATATTCTGAATCCATTGCTTTCGAAATGGGTATCGCATGTGACCCTTCCCCTCATATAGCTCCGGTCTCCTCCATATTTGGCCTATCATAATTAACCTCCCCTCCCCCCTCGAAGGACGAGGATGTGCAAGAAAACATGTGAAAGAATAGAAAATTAGTCATTTCAAATACACGTCCATCACATGAAAATAATTAATGAAGGATTGTTCCATTTGCTCAAACGAGACTCGTAATTATGGCGCTCAATCGGTCTCCCCGAACTCTGGAACAAAATCTGTTATGATGCATGGCCAGAAATACGACGAAAGGTCACATATTTCCCCAATGGTGGTAGGCCAGGGGGATATCAGTTAGACTTAATCCCAACCCTAACTCCTTTTTGCGGAGACTAGGCTCTAATTATGCCAGGTTAATGAAGTAAAATTAAAACATGTTGTTTGCATACCTGCTCACCAGAAAAGAGACTTCTAGTCCGACTCTGCCTCTCCTCTGTTGTCCTCACGACGTGTCGTCTGTACCGCGGGAGGATTAACTTTCCCAAGGGTAGAGTACTTCTGTATGAGATTCAAGGCTGCCGTTAAATGTCTCACAGAATGCACACATTCTCACTCTTGTATCCGCATTAGGAGGAGCCCACAACTTTATTCCAGAGCTGGTCAGGAAGCCTGGGGCCACAGATACGTGATAAGACCACAGGTCGCTTCAACGCGGAGCTATTTGCTGCAAGTCAGCAGCAGAATGGCCTCCAACCGGACAAGACGGTAAACAGTTTGCTCGGCTGAGAGATTGCTGGTTGACGGTTGGCGTTTTGGCGTCTTGGCAGCATGGTTGGTCCAGCACCAATTTCAGACCAAGGCCTTGAAAGGCAGGGCATGTGCCAGGCCTGGCCTGGGAGGGTAGGACAGGGTGGAGAAGGGGAACGAGAGAAGTTGAAGAGGGGAAAAACTGTCCATATGGCCAGCGAGACAGCCAATAGGAGTGCAGGGCTGACCGGCGGTTGGTTGGCTGTCTTAGGTTTGATGCTGCCCATTTATTTGGTTTCTAATACGTCTGGATGGCGCGAGTGGGATGGGAGGGACAAAGTAGAACTTGTATTTGCCAAGCTATAAGCCTCCTCATCCTCATCTCGACCACATGCAATCCCGATTAGGCTGGTGCACCCATGCGGGGTCGAGACTGCAGAACAGCCTGGATGAGTAGACCTTTTGGGAGGCAAGTTTAAGTGATGTTCAATGGCATCGTTGGAGAAAAACGCTACATTAACTCGACGTAACTCAGCAACCTAGAGTGCCGCATTTGATAAGACAACGGATTTCTTTATTACTTGACCTAAAGAGGTAGACGATTCAAACAAATTGCTTCCAGTCAAAATAAATTCTACTGGAAGGTTGAACAAAGGCTATGAATTTTTGTGAAGACTTTCATTCCGTATGGAAGTACATGATGAAGATATTCTTAGGTCAATCTCCCCAGAAGAGGTTGGCCGATTCGCGTTGTACTATTGCCCTTTGGCCTTAATACAATGATAGGTGTCATGCAGTTCACGAGACATTCTCCAATATTTCAGGCAGGGACGAGCTGAGCTTTCGTTCGTCATATGACGAACATCGTCAGAACTGGGGCTCATATATATATATATATATATATATATACGATTTGGTTTATTCACGTATACTTGAGTGTGTATATGCATGTATGTTTGGTAG